TATTCCATCTCTTCCCGCCGCGCCTTGTCGCCACAGCGACCCAGGAGAGGGCGAGGCGAAGCCATCCGTTGGGGGCGCTCGTCTCGCAGGCTCAGGTCAGTGCGCGTGCGCCGGGTAGAGGCGGCCCTGCGCGCTTGCCGTACGCCGCTTCCGGGACGCGCCTGCGGCGACTCCGCTGCAGAAGGTTTCTGCGGCCCCGCGCAGCCTTGCTGACGAAGCGGGGGCGACTCCGCGGGACGGCAGCGAGCTGCAGCATTCCCGCACCCTGGCCAGGTAAGCTGGGGGGCTCGGGCTGCCTGACTCGCAGGCGGTGGCAGCCTGGGGTCTCCCGCGGCGCTGCAGGCACCCGGACGCGTGGGAGGCGGCCGGAGGTTGCGGCCCCAGTGCTCCGGAGCGCTGCCTTGTGTACTCGGCGGAGCTGCGGGACGGTTGTTGCTGGGGTCTAGGGGAGCGGGCCAGCGGCCCCACTCCTCTCTTACGGGCCACTTTCTGCTCCCGTGACCGGTGGAGGGAGCGTGCAGCGGGGACTAGGCGGCGGAACCCGCATCCGTGGGTTGGGTGGGGGAGCCTGGCAGCAAATGGCCACCTGCTGCCGGTTAGAGGCTCTGTCTGGGGGTTGGGGGGCACTCGGGTCCTGCCGCCCGGCTGGATAGGCCGCTGGTGGCTGGTGCGTTCCTCCATCCTCCCTTGGCGCCGGCTGGGCGGCAACTGGATTGAGGTCGCTTGTGGGTTCGCTGTTCCTGAAGAACCTGAGCCTGGATCTTTGCTCCCTTCCCTTTTCCTTTGTAATAAGGCCCAGAGAGAAAAACCTTTCAATTAAAAGACCCCACAACCCGTTGTCCCTGGGCTGCAGGCACAGGGTTGGGGGCACGGGGCGAGGGTGGGGGAGCGGGGTGGGGGGGACCTGCCTTTGGGCCAGGCCCCTTCCAGAAGGCACGCACTGCCTGGCAAGGCTGCTGGTGGTAGATATGGCTGCAGACGGTGAAGGAGAACATTGAGGACAGTTCCCCGCTCCTTGGCTGTGCCGAGCCCATCTGGAGTGTTTCTGGTTCTAATCAGAAGTGGAACAGTTTCAGTGCTTCTTAGAGGTTCATGTTAGTGATGAACTTGGGTGGAGATGGTGACACAGCTTGTTCTCTCCTCCTAGGCTCTTAGTGCGTCTAGGATCCTGAGCTGCCAGGGGCCTGGCCACTCCCACCCCGAGCCCTGCCTTGGCTGAGCTGGTCACCGCTGCGTGTCCCGGGCTGCCGGCCTGCCTGTCATCTGCAGTGCACAGGTACGCATGTGTGTGCATATGTACATGTACCACACACATACCATGCCTACTTCACACACACCACATACATGCCCCATACACACCACACACATCATACCCACCTCTCACACACTACACACATGCTATGCTCACCTCACGTACACCACACACACATACCCCATACCCACCACACACAACATACATACCCACCTCACATACCCCATACACAACACACGTACCTACCTCACAGACCACATATACACTATGCCCGCCTCATACACACCACACACTTAACCCATATACAGCACACATACCACACACACACCATGCCCACCTCATACACACCCCAGACACTTCACCCATACATACCACACACAGCACACACATATCCCCACCTCACTCACGCAGCATACACTTATCATACCCACCTCACACACATACCCCATACACACCACACACAATACACGTCATACCCACGTCATACGCCACACACCACATATACACCATGCTCTCCTCACACACCCTACACACTTAACCCATATACACCACACACAAACACCACACATACCATGCCCACCTCACACACGCCGTACATATATCATACCCATCTAACACACATACCGCATACACACCACACAACACATATACTCACCCCTCACACCACATATATACCATGCCCACCTCTCACTCCCCACACCCTTAACCCATATACACCACACACACAGCACACACATCATACCCACCTCACACACACCCCAGATACACCACACACATAACGTACCCACCTCACACACCGCACACCACATATGTATGTGTCCTCAGACACACCATACACTTAACCCATGTACATCACACATACCACATACATATACCCTCCTCACATATACACCATACACTTGTCATACCCACCTCACACACCACACAGCACATATACGCTGTGCCTACCTCACACACCCCTCACATTAAACCCATATACACCACACGCATTCCACCCACATACCATGCCCACCTCACACACACCATACACATATCATACCCACCTCACACACATACCCCATACATACCACACGTCTATGACAACCATCTTACAGACCTCACATATATGCCATGCCCACCTCACAAACACCGGGCACTTAACCCATACGCACCACACACACACCACACACCTACCCACCTCACACACATGACACACACACCACACACATACCACACACATACCCACCTCAGACATATGACGCACATAACGCCATACACACCACGTACAACACACATACCCACTTCACACACATACCCCATACACACCACATGTCTATAACAACCACCTTACAGACACCACATATATGCCATGCCCACCTCACAAACACCGGGCACTTAACCCATACGCACCACACACACACCACACACGTACCCACCTCAGACACACGACATACATACGCAATACACACCATGCACAATACGCATGTCATACCCACCTCATATACCATACCCTAGATATATACCATACCCACTTCACACACATCATACATATATCATCCCCACCTAATACACATACCCCATACACACCACATACAACACACATACCCACCTCACACCACGTATATACCATGTCCATCTCACACAGACCACACACTTAATGCGTATGCACCACACACACCACACATACTACCATGCCACCCTACACGCATTATACACATATCATATCCACCTCACACACCAGACACACTTAACCCATATACACCACCACCACATAAATACCATGCCTACCTTACGCACCCCACACACTAACCTTTATATACCACACACATATCATACCCACCTCACACACACCCCACACACCCCAGGCACACCACACACCTATCATACCCGCCTTACATACCACACACCACATATATACCATGCCCACCTCAGACACACCACACACTTAACCCATGTACATCATGCACACCATGCACATACCATACCCAACTCCCACACACACCATACACATATCATACCTTCCTCACACACATACCCTGTATACACCACACACAACACGCATATCATATCCACGTCACACACCACAAAGCACATATACACCATGCCCACCTCACACACAGCACATATTTAACCCATGTATTCCACACACACCCCACATACTTCATATACACCATGTCCTCTCCACACATACTACACACCACACATATACCCCGTACACACCACACACACTGTACACACCACACATACCACATAATACCATACGTACACACCATACAGATTTTGTATACACGTACACACCCTATACATGCTACACACCTTACACACTTCACAAATTCCACACACACAGCACACCACACTCCACATACATGTTACGTCATCTATACAACACATCACTTTCCACACAGATAACTTATTCACACTACCGATACCACACACACCACATAATATCATACATACATACACCATACACACCTAATACACACCACACACTCCCCATACACACCACACTCACTACACCATGCACACGAAACATACACATTCAACCCTTCCACACTACATCACACTCCACACATACCAGACATACATTGTATACACCACAACCACACACCATACACAGTATATTGCGCACACTCACCCTCAAGGATGCCCCGCCATCACACACACACACCCACCCACCCACCCACCCACACACCCACACACTGCACATTCCTTACCCACCACACCACACACACTGTATCTCACGCACACACCACACAGCCCCCGCCACACGAGCTACCCATTGAATGAAATGGAATTATTTAGCTTTCCCAAAATTTATCCTGCCCATCTGGGCAACCCCACCTATCCTGGCCAGCACATCCTCTGGGCAATCCAAGTTATCCTGGCCGGCACATCCCCTGGTCCCGCCCTCCCTTGGGTCAGCGCTGCCTCCGGTGTTTCTGGTGTCTCTGGCTGTGCCCTGGGGCGTGCTTACGTCCCAATTGCCTGGGAGGCTGGCCCCTCTGCCCCAGTGGCCGCCTTCCTGGAGGAGACTGGCCTTTTTGCCATTCTCCTGATGCCCAGAGTGGCGCCAGGTGTGGGAAGTCCTACTTCTTCCCCTTGGTGTCTGCCCTTCCCCGCAGGTTGTTTTGTCTCAGTGCTGACGTCTCCCCAGCTAGAAGAGGAGACCCTCAAAGGCGCACAGGTGGGTTTGATTATAATGGTGGTGAATAAGAAAATGCGATTTGGTAAAAGACTCAACCAGTACAAACATCTTTAATAAAGTAAAATGTGCAAGCCCCCTCTGCTCCCACCTCTCTCCCAACCCCTCCCCAGAGGACATGGCTGACAAGCCTTTGGGGGCTCCGCCTTTTTGTGTGCGTTTGCATCCGTGTATGGGCTGGGGAGTGTGTGCATATTCTTTAGCCATCTTGACAGAGCTGCAACTGGGATCTACACACAGGCACTGACTGTAGTTCACTTGCCATTTTTCTTCCAAGACAGGCCTTTAAGATCCCTCACTGTAGTGTGCATTGCCCTGCCTCTTTAAAAATGCTGTGCACCCTTGCAGTAGGCAAACTCTGCCGTCATTTATTTAACCATTCTTTTGTTTACGGGTACTTAGGTCGTTTTCAGTTTTTTGAAAGACTGCTGTAGTGAAAATCTTCAGCTGTCATTTGCTGTTGCTGTGGCAGAACGTGGTGGGAGGTGCCATAGGGGTGGAGAGGCCTCGTGCGTGACCGGGCTTTGTGAGGTTCTGACTCTGTCCTTCCCAATGTTCCTCCCACACTGGCTGCCTCCTCCAGGAGATGATGGCTGTGTGAGTGCCTGCCATGGCCCACCGAAAGTGTGAGAGCGCAAGGAGCGGCATGTTGGATCACAGAGCGAGGCCGGGCACCGTTCCCCATGGCCAAGAGCGAAGACGAGGAGCTGCCCTTAGAGGACTAGGTACCCGAGGGCCTGGAACTGGCTGCCCTATAGCCAGAGAGCCCCATGCCCAAGGAGTAGGAATGCCACAACCACAACCCCGATGGGGATTCCAACTATGTGAACAACACCTCCGAGGAGGAGGACTACGACGAGGGCCTCCCCGAGGAGGAGGAGGGCATCACCTACTACATCTGCTACTGCCCCGAGGACAACAGCTACCTGGAGGGCAGGGACTGCAATGGGAAGGAGTACCTGGCCCACGGCATGCACCCCGTTGACACTGACACGTGCCAGGAGCATCCACACTACATGCCTCCTAACTGGAACGTCCAGTGAAGAGCTCAGCCACCATTAGAACTGCAAGGCACCCAGCCCCTCCCACCGCCTCGCTTCAGCATCTGCAGGGGCTGTACTAGGAGGTCCCTTGCTCTCGGGCCCCTCTGCTACCTTCTCTGGGACAGGAGAGTCTTACTCTGGGACAGGAGAGGAGTGGCTGGACTAGGTGGGCCTGCACCCTCATAGCCACTGTGCTGAGGGCAGCCAGGACTACCCAGACGGCCACCTGCCCATCCTGGAGGACGAGCCCTCTGTCCTGGAGGCCCACGACCAGGAATAAGATGGCCAGTACTGTCCCAGAAAAGAGGGCTACTAGGGCTGCTACCCCACAGAGGCCAATGGGAACACCGGTGCCTCCCCTTACCAACTGAGGCATGGGGACGGGAACCTGGAGGACCAGGAGGATGACACTGACCCTATCGTGGCAAAGATCAAGAGGAGCCTGAGCATGACCAGCATCACCAGTGCCAGTGAAACCAGCATGGTCCTGAGCCAAGATGTGGGGACTCTGCAGAGGCCTGCGTACCCAGCCAGGCCAGCTGCAACCCCAGCAGGCACGAAGCGAAACCCAAGTCACTGAACCTCCCTCCTGAGGCCAAGCACTGTGAAGACCCCCAGAGAGGCTTCAAGCCCAAGACTAGGACCCCAGAGGAGAGGCCGCAGTCATCCCACAAGCAGGTAGAACTCTCCTGTCCCAGAGAATCGAGCAGAGGGGCCTAAGAGCAAGGGACCCGGCTCTGCATCTCTTTTTATAGAGGTGCTAATCCATCATGAGAGGTCCACTCTCCTGACCTAATTACCTCCCAAGGGCCTCACCTCCTACCACCGTTACATTGGAGGCTAGGATTTCAACATATAAATTTTGAAGGAACACTTTCAGTCCATAGTACATGGAAAGTAATTTCTTAAATAAAGTACTGAAAGTGGCTGGATGTGGTGGTTCATGCCTGTAATCCCAGCACTTCAGGAGGCTAAAGCAGGAGGATTGCTTGAGCCCAGGACTTCCAGACCAGCCAGGGTAACATAACAAGACCCTGTCTCTTCATATATATACATATATATATATATACATACACACACAAAATTAGCTGACACACACACACACTCTCTCTCTCTCTCTCTCTCTCCTCTCTCTCTCTCTAGCTGATTGGTCGGCTGCTTGCCTGTAGTCCTGGCTACTCAGGAGGCTAAGGAGAGAGGATCACTGGGGGCCAGGAATTTGAGGCTGCAGTGAGTTGTGATTGAGCCATTGCAACAAAGTGAGACTCTGTCTCAAAAGGAAAAACTGTTAAAAGCATAAGCTCAAAAGAAAAATGGTGATAGATTTGATTTCGCCAAAGTATTTAGACTTCTTTTCAACCAAAAATACCGCAAACAAAGTTAAAGAGAAACTGTAGATCAGGAGCAGGTATTTGCAATTCATATAATCAACAAAGGATACATATGTAGAATATTTAAGGAATTCTTACGAACTAATATTTTTAAAAGTCAGCCAACCAAAAGAAAAGTGGGCAAACAATATGAACATGGAATTCATAGAAAAGTTAACTTGGCCAGGCACAGTGGTTCATGCCTGTGATCCCCGCACTTTGGTAGGCCAAGGTGGGCAGATCACCTGAGGTCAGGAGTTTGAAACTAGCCTGGCCAACGTGGTGAAACTTATCTCTACTAAAAACACAAATTAGCCGGCCATGTTGGCACGTGCCTGTAGTCCCAGGTACTCAGGAGGCTGAGGCATGAGAATCGTTAGAACCCAGGGGACAGAGGTTTCAGTGAGCCGAGATTGCACCACTGTGCACCAGCCTGGGAAGCAGGGCAAGATTTCATCTTGGGGGGGAAAAAAAAAAAAAAAAGAAAAGGAAACTTGAAGGATCTGATCTGCAAACATAGCAAGAGATTTAGCATCAATAGGAATGAGGGAATTGGACGTAGAAATGACAAGGAGAGGCCCGGCACGGTGGTTCATGCCTGTAATCCCAGCACTTTGGGAGGTTAAGGTGGGTGGATCATGAGGTAAGAGATGGAGACCATTCTGGCCAACATGGTAAAACCGCATCTCTACTAAAAATATAAAAATTAGCCAGGCATGGTGGTGCGTGCCTGTAATCCCAGCTACTCAGGAGGCTGAGGCAGGAGAATCGCTTGAACCAGGGAGTCAGAGGTTGCAGTGAGCGAGGTGATGCCATTGCACTCCAGGCTGAGACAGAGCGAGACTGTCAAAAAAAAAGTTAATCAGAAAAAGTAAGTTTTCAATAACATGTACAAGTCACGTATAATATATAACAAATAGGGCATACACGCATTAGCTAACATTTAAAAATACATTTAAAGACATCCACATAAGTAGCAGAACTATAAAATATTGCACGGGAGTGGTGAACTCTAAATTCAGAGGAGTGGGTACCTCTAGGGACTGGTAGCGGAATAAGCCTATGGGGGAAGGTCCTGGGGGCTTTATTTCATATATAAGTTAAGTTTAGTTCGTGAAACCAGAAAGTCTAAAGCAAGTATCACTACATATGAATATGTTCTGATAACGCCAGAGAGTGGTACCCAGGGGTTTGGCATATGGGCTCCTACAGATTTATGTATGTTTGAAATATTTATTTATTGGCCGGGCGCGGTGGCTCACGCCTGTAATCCCAGCACTTTGGGAGGCTGAGGCGGGTGGATCACAAGGTCAAGAGATCGAGACCATCCTGGTCAACATGGTGAAACCCCGTCTCTACTAAAAATACAAAAAATTAGCTGGGCATGGTGGTGTGTGCCTGTA